TTTCCAAACATCTTCCTAATTTGTGACGTAAGCATGAATAGAGACAATTTTATCCCTGCCAACAGTAAAGAGACACTTAAACTGTCATTTGTTTGGGTAAAATAGAGAAAAGCTGCTTAAAAACGACCAAAACACAAAGAAAACGTTGCTTAATTCCGCACTCGTTTCACAATTTTCTTATTACAAACGACCTCAAACCGGGGATGGCCCAGTTTTTTCAGACAGTGTAGGACTTACTTTGACCCGAGCAGCTGCTTTTCCAACACATCTGTACTGGAGAGAGAAACGTTTAGCTCAAATACGTGGAAATAAATCAGGCGCAGGCCCTTGAACGCTCCTTATAATGGGCACTTTCACTCGAGGTGGATTTGAGCTTTTAAACAAACACGAGTGACGGTCGGATTTCAGGATCCGGGCGCGACTCTTCCCAAAGGGCCGGAGGACGAGCCAGGAGCGGAGGCCATTTTCACCTGTCCTGCCAACCAACCGGCCGACGCAACCGACAGGGGCATTTTCCTGCGGGAAAATATACGACGGGTCAAAAGTTTGGACACACCCAAACTCATTTTTCCAATTTTTTTTTCCCTTCAGCAAAGCGAAGGTTGGCCACTGTGGGGATTCGGTTATATTTTTTTCTTTTTCCGACATAATTCCATATGCGTCGCCTTCTTGTTTCCATGGATACGTCATTGCTCTGCCTGGAATGTTCCGCAGTGTGACATTAAACAGCTCTACTTTACATTTATTCAATCACAGGCGGTTTTAAAGCTCAAAAACACCTCAAAAAACAGACATTGTGACTGTGAGCGGGGTCGCCTCTCCACAGATGTGACCTGGAACTTGGTCCCGTTTGGTCTCCATGGAGATAGAAAGGTTTAAAGGGTGACAGAAGCTCAGTCGATCGAGCGTTTGTCCACTGATCCGAAGGTTGGTGTTTCAAATCACGTTCTCGACATAAAAAAATATAATTGGTTGAGCGTCAGATCCATTGACCCTCAGGTTGTTGGTGCGATTCCAGCTCACACAGATGAAGGCTGCTGTTGTGTCCTCAGGCAAGACACTTAACCCACCTCACTCCCAGTGTCTGTGTGCTCTGGTGTGTGAATAGGTGAGTGGTTCCTGGCCTGATTCATCAGCCGGTTTCACTTGGTGGAAACCGTGTGACCTCGCAGCATTAGGATTCGTTCGCTCGACAGTAGGCGGGGACTTTTTTATTTAACCAATCACTGCTGTTTGGTCGTGACGTATGTAATGCTCCAAATCCCATAGGAAGAAGAACAATAACGTCTTTCCCCGAGATAAAATTCACCAAACATTCTCTTTGTTCCGGCTTTAAATCTTCGATCTCGGGAATCGTTGACAACACAGAATGTCTGTCTTTTCACTGATTGGCTGGTGCCCGAACTCACACTTCTTACAAATCGTCTAGTTCAGGAGTGTCAAACTCATTTTGTTCTGGGGGTCGTATCCAACCGACTTTGATCCCAAAGGGGCCGGATCAGAAAACTCATGTCATATAAACCCCAAAAATAACAATAAGTTCAAATATTTGTGCAGAGAAACACAAATCTATTACAGAAATCTTTTTAATTGATGAACTCTTTCTTATTATAATATTATAATATTATGAACAACCTGAAACTTTAAGAAAAATACAATTTCAACACAAAGTTTTAACATGAACTTGTATGTAAATAGGAATAAGTCCATTTTTGTTGTAAAATCCTGCACTCGGCTCCACTTTTCTCATGTTGGACATTTTTCTGATGAGGGTGTCACGGTCAACAGTCAAAACGATCGTCCTTTAAGAGCGTTTGGAAAGAGACAAGTCTTCATTTGTGCTGCTCTGGTGGGAGGGGCCACGTACAGAGACGCTGGAGACGCTGCTGTGATAAACACCACAGAAAATTAACAAGATTTTAATAGAAAATATAATTAAATATTTTAGTAGAAAATCACCCATGGGCCACATTAAAGGTCTTGGAGGGCCGGATTTGGCCCCCAGGCCTTATGTTTGACACGTGTGGTCTAGTGCATTCTGATTCCTGATCTAGTCACTGGACAGAAATGAAACTGACCAGAGGCACTAAGCGGTGCCAGACTGGAAAAGCGCTGTATAAAAATGTGATCGTTTACCGTTCAGTGCAACTTTTTTTCTGGGGATTCATATTTTAAAAGTCATAAATCTTCACGACCCAAGTCAATAAACATTATTCGTAAATCACAAAATAATTTAGTGACCGTTATTGAACATTAACAAGGATATTTTCTTGTTGACTGACTGATCGTGTCTCTGAACAATGAGTATTACTGTATTTTTCAGATTATAAGGACCATTAAGTGACACAAACGAATGAGACATGAGACTTTTTTATTTCCTACGAGGACGACTCAAATATACACTGAGTAATAATGTGTTAATGCAGCTTTGATCACATTTGTTTACGTTTTACAGATACGAAACTTAAAACCACATGACTCATTTACATAAACTATAAGAAAAAAACAATAAAAACGTCTCTTTCCTTGTGCACTTATGTAATGGTTCGGCTTCTGTCGGACTAAAGGACGCGACTCAGTGGAATATGAGTGAAAATCGGTTCGAGGTCAGCGACGTGACCAGAAATTATTTGTCAATTTTTCAAAAAATTAAAGGATTTCAAGTGTGCCTTATAGTACGAAAAATACGGTACTCAAGTATTAAAAAAGGACAAACAGTAATCGGTGTTTCCCACAGAAAAATGGTTAGGAAAGACGGTGCTGCTGAAAAAGTGAGGAGCGTGGAGATGTATGTACATGTACATCACAGACCGACATCCTGATCATGACAAAAAAAATGGACCCAGTCTTTGGGAAACCATGATTTAATGCCGTACTGTGAAACTTTCCAGACGAAGCAAAAACATCTCCATGGAGAAAAGTGACACAGTGCACCTCTAACAATGTTTTCTGTGAGTGTGTTAGACACAGAAAGTCGTAAACATATCGAAAAAAAAACATTAAATGAAAGAGAGAGTACAAACTTTTGACTGGTCGTTTCAGAATGATGAAAAATGAGGACCGTTGCTATAGCGATGAACAACAAAATAGTGTATCTTTTCAACGGTAAAAAGTTCTTCAGTCGTCGCCTTTAACAGGAAGTTCAAACCTTCTGGACGTTTTTGTGATTCTGACTTGGTTTGGTGGAGAGTCACAAGTAATATTTATCTAATATCTAATTTTTTTTTTTTTTTTTTTTCAGTTAAAGGTTCCGTATTACATCATTTTCTCGTCACAAACAGACCTGGAGTTGTGTTTTGTTCACATGTTTAACACACAAAACCAGATTTAGATTTACACTGACTTCTTCTCTTAAACTGGGCCAACTCGTGATGCTCCACTGTGTTTTTAAACTCCACACAACTTCACTAGAATCATGTGGATCATTTTCAGGTCTGGAGTTACCGATCTCGACTGAACTAAAGGGAAAAAGGGGAAGAAAACTACCACTTCATGACATCACAAGGTGGATCAGAGCGTTTTGAGCTTTGGAGATGTAAACAGACGAATAATAAAGTTTTACTCAAACATGTGAATGAAAAAAAAAACACAAGTCCAGCTCTGTTTTTGAGGAGGAAACAACATTAGAAGACGACTTCAAGCTCACAGGAGTCCAGTGTGCGTCATATCAGAACTTTATGTGTCAGTTTGTGAAGAAAAGTGAGAAAAAAGTGAAAAAACTAAAAACTAAACAGGACATAGTGAGTTCTTAAACAGAATATTGTCATTCAGCACAACAAAAAATTCCATCCAAATTCAGGAAGAGTTTATAAACAAGTAACACATTTCTTTTCTTTCATTTTTTATCTGTGAATGAAAACACAATAAAAAGCTTTGGCTCTTGTGAACAGTACGGCTGCCACATGTGAAATATACATGTACAAGACTGAACATTAAAATTACAATGGAAATAAAAATAAAAAAATTAAATAAAAATTACAATTAAAATAGAAATTAAAATGGAAATAAAAATAAAATTTCAAATGGAAATAAAAATTTAAACTGAAATAAAAATGACAATTGAAATATAAATTAAACTTAAAAAAATGTAAATAAAAATTAAAATTACAATTAAAATAGAGATTAAAATTTAAATTAAAATTTAAATTCAAATGAAAATAAAAATTAAAACTGAAATAAAAATTACAATTAAAATATAAATTTATTTCAAATAAAAATGGAAATTAAAATGGAAATAAAAATTAAAATAGAAATAGAAATTTTAATAAAAATGAGTATTAAAGTAAAAATAGAAATTATACTTTCAATAAAAAATATAGAAATTTAAATTGGAATTAAAATTACTCTAGAAATTAAAATTAAATTTGAACTTAAAATTAAAATAGAAATTTTAATTAAAGTAGAAAATGAAATAAACATTAAAAAATAGAATTAAAATTCAAATGGAAATTAAAGTAGAAAATGAAATAAAAGTTGAAAATAAAATTAAAATAGAAATTTAAATTAAATTAGAAACTGAAACTGAAATTGAAATCAAAATTAAAATGATTGTTTGCACTTTTAGGAGACAGGATCATGAGGGAGGAGTCAGGAGTTGAGATAAATGAGCTGTGAAAACATCTCCCCTGGACTTTAGACTAGAGAAGAGGAGGAGGAGATGGAGAGTCTGAGGAGGCTGGTGGTTCTGCTGCAGAGACAGTGCAGGTTGAGACAGAAGCTGGATTCTCAGGAGGAAGTGGACGATTAGGTGACAGGTGATTGGTTAAGAGTCAAAAGTGAAGTGACAGGAAGTAGAAACTGTGAGGAAATGCAGTCTTCGTGGTTGTATTTCCGTTTCAGCTCTGGACCGTTTGAAAACAGGAGCAAAGACACGGCGTCACGTTGACTTTGTGAGAACACCGCTGTCTGTGCATGGACCTCCTCTAACCCCGCCCCTCGGCCCGGTCGCCACGGAGACACGCACAGCCTGACTGAGTGACCTCTTCTTGTCGTCCGAACAGAAACCTGCGCGGTGAACAACGGCGGCTGCGACCGGACGTGCAAGGACACGGCCACAGGGGTGCGCTGTAGCTGCCCTGTGGGATTCACCCTGCAGCCCGACGGGAAGACCTGCAAAGGTGAGTCCAGAGACGCAGAGACACACAGAGACAGACACACACAGAGACACAGACACACAGAGACACAGACACACACACAGACACACAGAGACACAGAGACACACAGAGACACAGAGACACACACAGAGACACAGAGACACACAGAGACACACAGACACACAGAGACACACAGAGACACACAGACACACACACAGACACACAGAGACACAGACACACAGAGACACACAGAGACACAGACACACAGACAGACACACACACAGACACACAGAGACACGCAGAGACAGACACACAGAGACGCAGACACACAGAGACACAGACACACAGAGACGCAGACACACAGAGACACAGACACACAGAGACGCAGACACACAGAGACACAGCAGACACACAGACACACAGAGACGCAGACACACAGAGACGCAGACACACAGAGAGACACAGAGACACAGACACACAGACACACAGAGAGACACAGACACACAGAGACAGACACACAGAGCAGACACACAGAGACACAGACACACAGAGACACACACAGACAGAGACAGACACACACAGACACACAGACACACAGAGACACACAGAGACACAGACACACACAGACACACAGAGACAGACACACAGAGACACAGACACACAGAGACGCAGACACACAGAGACACACAGACACACAGACACACAGAGACGACACAGACACACAGAGCAGACACACAGAGACGCAGAGAGACAGACACACAGACACACAGAGAGACACACAGAGACACAGACACACAGACACACAGAGACACACAGAGACACAGACACAGACACACAGACACACACAGAGACGCAGACACACACAGAGACACACAGAGACACAGACACAGACACACAGAGACAGACACACAGAGACGCAGACACACAGAGACACACAGACACACAGAGACGCAGACACACAGAGCAGACACACAGAGACACACAGAGACAGACACACAGAGACGCAGACACACAGAGACACAGACACACAGAGACACAGACGTGAGCGCTGACAACAGACATGGATAAAAACATGTGTGAACTTCCAGATAAAACTGTGTTCAGAGCGATGTTCAGGGCGTCTGTGTGGAGGCGTCCGCCGCCTTTTCCGACATCCCTTCGTCACAGCATCTTTATTTACACATGCCGATGTTACGTCTAGGGATGGGCATTAGATTAAAGTTTCTTAATCAATCGTCGGGAGAATTAATGATCAATTTTTGATTAATCATTAACGTTTTTATATTAAAATGATGATCATTATTTATGCAGATTGGTAATAGTAACAATAATAAACTCAACTTTACACCTGCAGGTACCTGACGAGTACGGGCAGATAGTTGCTGAAATGGGCGTGTTTTAACATTATGAATTTTACGGGCGGATCGTGATTACACACGGGTGGGTCAGGACTAAACCAGGACTGATTTTGGACTCAAGAGACAGAGAACCCTGAGCCCACGGAGCAGAGTGTCTCCAAAACGTGATCGGGTGACATCTGTGCTGACCTCCGTGAGGCGTGGAGCTCTGCGCTGGTCCTTTCACCTGCAGTCACCCGACGGTCTACGCGGGCGAACCTCTGAGCCAGTCCCGACAGTGAGTCCTAGTTCAGTCCTGGTTTACTCCTCCTGGTCCAGTCCTGGTTCAGTCCGTGGCATGTATCTTCTGCTCAGTAAATAATCCCTGTGAAGTTTTGACAGTCGAGTCGCGTCTGTGAATTCGTGTTTGTACTGAAAAAAAATAGTTTTGTTTCATTTCGTGATTGTAATTCTTCAAGTCGTAACACTTCTGATGGATGCTTCAGTTAGAATGTTTTTAATTTGTGTGTGATTTATCGCGGGTTAACGGACGGTTGCGAAGCTGGACTCTGCGGGTGTGGGTCTCCAAAAATGAACCCGTGCAGGACTCTGACCTCTCCAGATCCACATCAGCCCGTTTGACATTATAATGTGTTTAATGCAGCTTTGACACATTTGTTTACATTTTACACAAACTTAAAACCACATGACTCATGATGATGATGATGATGATGATGATGATGATGATGGTGATGATGATGATGATGGTGATGATGATGGTGATGGATGATGATGATGATGATGATGATGATGATGATGATGATGATGATGATGATGATGATGATGATGATGATGATGATGATGATGATGATGATGATGATGATGATGATGATGATGATGATGATGATGATGGTGATGATGATGATGATGATGATGATGATGATGATGATGATGATGATGATGGTGATGATGATGATGATGATGATGATGATGATGATGATGTGATGATGATGATGATGATGATGATGATGATGATGATGATGATGATGATGATGATGATGATGATGATGATGATGATGGTGATGATGATGATGATGATGATGATGATGATGATGATGATGATGATGATGATGATGATGATGATGATGATGATGATGATGATGATGATGATGATGATGATGATGATGATGATGGATGATGGATGATGATGATGATGATGATGATGATGATGATGATGATGATGATGATGATGATGATGATGATGATGATGATGATGATGATGATGATGATGTGATGATGATGATGATGATGATGGATGATGATGATGATGATGATGATGATGATGATGGATGATGATGATGATGATGATGATGATGATGATGATGATGATGATGATGATGATGATGATGATGATGATGATGATGATGGTGATGATGATGATGATGATGATGATGATGATGATGATGATGATGATGATGATGATGATGATGATGATGATGATGATGATGATGGTGATGATGATGATGATGATGATGATGATTATGGTGATGATGATGATGATGATGATGATGATGATGATGATGATGATGATGATGATGATGATGATGATGGTGATGATGATGATGACCGACATGATCGGTTTGTCTCTCGTCTCAATAGAAGTGTCCAATAACCTGACATGAAAGAGAGAGGACAGAGAGAGAGAGAGAGGAACAGAGAGAAGAGGAGAGGAAGAGAGAAGAACAAAGAGAGAGAAAGAGAGAGAGAAGAACAAAGAGAGAGAAAGAGAGAGGAACAGAGAGAGAGGAGAGAGAGAGAGAGAGAGAGAGAGAGAGAGAGGAACAGAGAGAAGAGGAGAGGAAGAGAGAAGAACAAAGAGAGAGAAAGAGAGGGGAACAGAGAGAGAGGAATAGAGGGAGAAAGAGAGAGGAACAGAGAGAGAGAGAAAGAGAGAGGAACAGAGAGAAGAGAGGAGAGAGAGAGGGGAACAGAGTGAGAAAGAGAGAGGAACAGAGAGAAGAGAGATAGAAGAACAGAGAGAGAGAGAGAGGAACAGAGAGAGAAAGAGAGAGAAGAACAGAGAGAGAGAGAGGAACAGAGAAGAGGAGAGAAAGAGAGGAACAGAGAGAGAGAGATGAACAGAGAGGAGAGAGAGAGGAACAGAGAGAGAAAGAGAGAGAAGAACAGAGAGAGAGAGGGGAACAGAGAAGAGGAGAGAAAGAGAGGAACAGAGAGAGAAAGTGAGAGGAACAGAGAGAAGAGGGGAAAGAGAGAGAGAGGGGGAGGGAGAGAAAAGAAGTGAGGAAAAGGAGAGAGCAGAGAGGAGGAGGAATGTGACACTGTGGTGTTGATCTCCGGATTCTTCTGCGTCTCACCACACGACGCTTCACAAACTGTTTAAACACAGAGACTCCTCCACCCACACGTACAGCGCCACCTACAGACAGAGAGAACACCACCACCACCACACACAGCGCCACCTACAGACAGAGAGAAACACCACCACCACCACACAGCGCCACCTACAGACAGAGAGAAACACCACCACCACACAGCGCCACCTACAGACAGAGAGAGAAACACCACCACCACCAACACAGCGCCACCTACAGACAGAGAGAAACACCACCTACAGACAGAGAGAAACACCACCACCACCACACAGCGCCACCTACAGACAGAGAGAAACACCACCACCACCACCACACAGCGCCACCTACAGACAGAGAGAAACACCACCTACAGACAGAGAGAGAAACACACCACCACCACCACACAGCGCCACCTACAGACAGAGAGAAAACACCACCACCACCACACAGCGCCACCTACAGACAGAGAGAACACCACCACCACCACCACACAGCGCCACCTACAGACAGAGAGAGAAACACCACCACCACCACACAGCGCCACCTACAGACAGAGAGAGAAACACCACCTACAGACAGAGAGAAACACCACCACCACACAGCGCCACCTACAGACAGAGAGCCACACACGCCACCTACAGACAGAGAGAGACCACCACCACCACCACACAGCGCCACCACCTACAGACAGAGAGAGAAACACCACCACACCACCACACACCACCTACAGACAGCACCACCTACAGACAGAGAGAGAAACACCACCACCACACAGCGCCACCTACAGACAGAGAGAGAGAAACACCACCTGAGACCACCACACACAGCCACCACACAGCGCCACCTACAGACAGAGAGAAACACCACCTACAGACAGAGAGATTGTGAAGTCCAGTGGTGCAGCAGCTTCACTTTCACTTTTGTTTCTCATATTGTGCACTTTATGCACGACGCACGAGCTCTTATTTTGATGAAGAACTTTAGACTTTTACTCTGTGGTGACCTTGACGGAGGAGAAGAATGGAGAACTTTACGCAGACTCGTTTGGACACGTCTACACACGAGCTCCACACTGGAGATCTTCACCAATGAGGAGCAGAGTTTTGGTTCATTTTTTCTGTTTGGCTTAAATTTGGTGCAGACACTGCAGAGTGTGACTAGATGTGGATTTATTCTGACGCACTTTGGCTTTTAGACACGATAAACGCCCCGTGCTGGAGACGTGATGTTTTGGGTGGACGTAAGTTTCACGCTGCTCACTGTTTCTTCAGCTCTTCAGTTTTAGCGGTGAGACACTCTGTTCTTTGTTTGGACA